GGAACTTGAATTTTGGTACACATTATAAGATAGTTGAAGGCCATTCGATGGTAGTGTTTTGTAGTTCAGTTTACTTTTATACAGGGTAGACATGTGGAACTCCTACTTTTGTCTTGTTCAGAAGTTTTTTGTGTGCACTTAAACTTTTATCAACATAATTTTTCTAATTACTACAAGTTATTTATCAATTTTTTTTATCTCTTATTGCTTTTTCTTAAGGGCACTAGTTTGCCCGCAAAAAAAATAAATCGTTTCGGCTTAATCAAAACTTTCCAGGCCGTTGGATTGCTAGAAGTCAAGAAGCTCCTATAAACTCGCCTCCGAGATCTCCCGATTTAAACGCGCTCGATTTTTACTTCTGGGGCCATTTAAAAAGTACGGTATATTCACCAGAAGTGCATACAATCGAAGAAGTTTAGGAAAGAATTTTTAATATTTCTAACGAAATCAGAACCTCAGTGCAAACTTTACGGCCTGAAAATTTTAATTTCATTGAAAGACTGCTGCTAAGTTAACATTAGAATGGTTAATTAAATTTAGTTTTGTTTGTTTATATCGTTGCGCATAATGATAGCATGTTTTTATTTAAGTAAAATTTATTCAAACTATAATGTATATTATTTTAATTATTTTTTTAAAATTATTTCTACATTATAAATCTTAAACTGATGTCTTAAATAACTCGGTGAATATATAATAATATTTTTCTCATTTTCTCTCTCTCTATAATAACGCCTCGAATCAGCTGAAATCTGGCAACAATGTATTCCAAGGGGGCTACAATTAGCCGCTCCTTTGAGTCATAGTCAAAGCAATCAAAGATTCAAACGTGCACCTCTAGTCTGCGCCCAATAGTAGCTTTGAGTGGCGCGATTGGGGCGCAGGGCAGGCGCCCATCCGACACCCACTGAAGCCCTGGTTTTCTGCCCACATTTTAGAGCCCGACGGCGAGCCAGCCGTCCAGTCCAACGGACGAGATTTCCGTGCGCCGAATCTCCTCGTTTATGCTGCTGGAGACACGCGAACTGCCCACGGCGCCTTTGGCGCATACGGCGCCCACCCCATGGCGCAGCAACGACCCGGTGTCGAAGCGCACCTGGTTCGAGTACTCGATCAGAGTGGGGGCGCAGCTCTATCAGCTCAATATCGGCCATCGGAATCGCACATTCAGCGCCGAAGACCTGATGGGCTTCAACAACACGGGCAACATCTGCATTTGGCCGTCGGAGGAGACGCTCAGCTACTACGCATGCGGCAATCTGGCGCTGTTCAGTGGCAAGCGAGTGCTGGAACTGGGCGGCGGCATGTCCTGTTTGGCGGCGCTGTTTGTCGCCAAGTACGCAGGCGCGCAGCGCGTGCTTGCCACCGATGGCAACAAGGCGTCGGTGGAGAATGTGCAGGCGATACTGCGCTGCAACGCGTTCGCCTGCCGCACCGACTGCGCAGTGCTGCGGTGGGGCGATGCTGCGCAGGACAGTCGCGGCCAGTTCGATGTGATCGTGTCCGCCGATTGTTTGTTCTTCGATGATGCGCGCACGGATCTCGTCAACTGTCTGCGCAGCCGGCTGGCGCCCGGCGGGCTGGCGCTGGTGATGGCGCCCCGGCGCGGCKCCACCTTGGACAGCTTCGTCGGCCAGTCGGAGGCGGCGGGGCTGCGTTGCCGCACTGTGCCCAATTACAGCGACGTCGTCTGGGAGAARCGGCTCGCCCTCATGGCCAACGCCGACTACAACGACAACATCCACTACCCCATTCTGATTGAAGTGACCAAACCTGAGCGCTGAGTTCTGCGCTGGCGCGGCGCAGCCGCTGTGCGCCGGCGCTCGCCACTCCCCTTAGCCATTTGTCTATGTATTCTAGTCTGATTGACCTTATCTGTGATACGAAATACCAATTTTCCTTGTCGATTATTCTAGCGTTAGTCAGTTAGGGGTTAGTGTCCTTTTCGCCTGGATTTGGTGGGTTTCTGGCCGCCCCCAGTGTGAGATTCGATGGAAAATGCGTGAAATTCGAAGGAAAAGTTGAGCCGTGTAGTAGTGGTGCAGCCAATAAAGTGTCGTCTCGGTAAATGTGGGCGATGTTTTATTTATGAAAACATGTGTTTGCACGACACGCGCGCGGCGGTGATTGATTGGGCGGCACCTTTGTTGTTTGTGCGTTTTTTTTTTTTTTTTTGGTGCTCGAAGTTCAAGTTTTGCCACCGCAGACTGCGTGGTTAAAGATTTGTTCAGCGGCTTGGCATCGTCGCTTTTTCTAGATTTGAAGCTTTTGAAGTATTTGAAGTTTGAACTACCGATGATGAGGAGCGGCCAATTGTAGCCCCCTTGGAATACATTGTTGCCAGATTTCAGCTGATTGGAGGCGWTATTATAGAAARAGAGAGACAGAAAATGAGAAAGATGTTATTATATATTTACYGAGTTATTTAAGATATCGATWAAATAAATTATTTCCGATTCAAAATGTCCACCAAAAATCAGTTTARGATTTCTAATGTTGAAAGAATTTWAAAAAAAWTAATCAAAATAATATACATTATAGTTTGAATAAGTTTTACTTAAATAAAAACATGGTAACAATATGCGCAACGATATAAACAAACAAAATTAAACTTAATTAACCATTCTAATGTTAACTTAGCAGCAGTCTTTTAATTAAATTAAAATTTTCAAACCGTAAAGTTTGCACTGAAGTTCTTATTTCGTTAAAAATATTAAAAATTATTTCCTAAAGTTCTTCGATTGTATGCACTTCTGGTGAATATACCGTACTTTTCAAATTGTCACAGAAGTAAAAATCAAGCGCGTTTAAATCGGGAGATCTCGGAGGCGAGTTTATAGGAGCTTCTTCACTTCTAGCAATCCAACGGCCTGGAAACTTTTGATTAAGCCGAAAAGATTTATTTTTTTTGCGGGCAAACTAGTGCCCTTAAGAAAAACAATAAGAGATAAAAAATTGATAAATAACTTGTAGTAATTAAAAAAATGATGTTGATAAAACTTTAAGCGCACACAAAAAAGTTCTGAACAAGACAAAAGTAGGAGTTCCACATGTCTACCCTGTATAAAAGTAAACTGAACTACAAAACACTAGCATAGAATGGCCTTCAAATATCTTATAATGTGTACCAAAATTTAAGTTCC